TCAGTGGTAGAGCCCCTGCCTAGAATCCCCCAGTGAGGGGCTGGGGGTGTGGCTCAGTGGTAGAGCCCCTGCCTAGAATCCCCCAGTGAGGGGCTGGGGGCGTGGCTCAGTGGTAGAGCTACTGAGTGAGGGGCTAGATGTGGCTTAGTAGTAGAGCCTTTCTAATATGCATGAGATTATTGGCTTCACCCTAGCATTGGGGTGGTGGGGGTGTCTTGTACAACTTCTAGAAAGTTCATTTGCGACTGTAACTTCCTGCCTGAACTCTCACTATCCAAATATTTCCCATACAATAACTTTGTTCTTTTAGTTTTTTTTTTTTTTTTTACAAACACTCTCTATGTAGCTCCTGCTGGTCACGGACTAGCAGAGATCCTCCTGCTTCTGCTTCCTGAGTGGTAGGATTAAAGGTATATGACACCAAGTCTGGTTTAGCATGTTTTAATTAATTAATTAGTTGATTAATGAATTGGTTAATTTTTACATCCTGACCACAGCTTCTTCACCTTCCCTCTTCCCAGTTCCACCCCTCCATGGCCCCTCTCCTCCTACCCTTCCTGACTCTTCAGAGAAGGTCAGGCCCCCCCATGGATATTAATCTGCCATGGCATATCACACTGCAGTAAGACTAGGTACTTCCTCTCCTATTAAGGCTAGATGAGGCAACTCAGCCGAGGGAGAGGTTCCCCAAAGCAGGCAACAGTCAGAGACCGCGTTTTCTCCAACTGTTAGGAGTCTGAGGAGAAGACCAAGCCGCATAACTAACGTATGTGCAGAGGGCCTAGCTCAGTCCTACACAGGTTACCTGGTTGGCAGTTCAATCCCTGTGAGCCCTACGAGCCCAGGTTAGTTGATTCTGTGGGTTTTATTGTGGTCTCCGTGACCCCTCCAGCTCCTACAATCCTTTTTAAAATCAGGTTTTGCTTGAATGTATGTCTGTGTACCGTGTACATGGCTGGTGTCTGCAGAGGCCAAAAGAAGGCGACAGATCCCATAGAACTGGAGTCACAGACAGTTGTAAGCTGCCATGTGGATGCTGGGTACTGAATCCAGGACCTTTGGAAGAGCAGCCGGTGCTCTTAAATGCTGGACTATCTCTAAAAATTTTTTTTTATTAAACTTATTTTTATTTTATTTTTACTTTTGAAATTTTGCGACAGGATCTCTATGTAGTTCTGGTTTGAATTCACAGAGACCCACCTGCCTCTGCTTCCATGTCCAGCCTAAGATTCGTTTTTATTTATTTTTATTTATGTGTATCTGTCTGTGTGGATTATGGGGTGTGTGTGTGTGTGTGTGTGTGAGCGTGCACACACGCACTTGCAGAGGCTACCTTGGAACTGGAGTTACATACAGGTGTTAACACTCTGAAGCGGGTGCTGGGTACTGAACCTGTGTCATCTTCAAGAGCAGCAAATATTCTTAACTGCTAAGCCATCATTTCTCCAGCCCCATCTTCTGTGAATTTTTTTTAGATTTACTTCATGTGTATGACTGTTCTGCCTGCATGTATGCATGGACGCCATGTGCATGTGGGCCTGGTGCCTACAGAGGCACTGGAGCCCCTGGAACTGGAGTTACAAATGGTTGTAAGTCACCATATAGGTTCTGGGATCAGACCCTGATTCCTCTGCTAAAGCAGCAAGCGCTTTTAACACCAACCCCCATTTTAGGATTTTTGAGGCAGAGTTTCCTCTGTATCCCAGGCTGACCTCTAACAAAGCAACCTTCCTGCACAGCCTTCCCCAAGTGGTGGAACTGAAGGCATCGGCCACTCGCCTGACTTTGATTTGCTCTCCGATTCGCCTTTGTCTTGGAAGCCCCAACTCTGCTATGGCACTCAGTGTCTTGCTCCGTGTGGATCCTAAGGCTTCAGCCTCCTGTGTGCTTAGATCCATCAAGCATTGCGTGTGTGCAGGCTGTGAGCTATGCTGCAGGCCAGCACCTGTTTCCTCCCCATCCTAGGTTGCTCTGTCGACTCATTCTGTGTTCCTGGGTCTTCCTGGGTCTTAGCATGGAGGAATCTTGAGTCTCTTTGGGATGATTTTGGTTGCTACTCCCCATGGTCATCATGGTTCACACCTGACTCCATGCCCCACCCTGCGGCATACACAAACACTGCAAGTGAGCTTACTGTTGGATCTCTATGGACTCGATGTCGTAAATGCATTCTGTTATGTCCTAACCCTTATTAAGTGGTAATAAGAGTGTAAGAGGATTTTTAAAAACAGAGCTGGGTATGGTGTGCCTGTAATCCCAGCATGAGGGAGGCAGAGGTAGAAGGCTCTCTAGTACATGGGTGCCCTGGGCCGCACAGAAAAAGTAGTGAAACACTGGCATTTAGAAGTCTAAGCCAGGGCCGGGCAGTGGTGGCGCACGCCTTTGATCCCAGCACTTGGGAGGCAGAGGCAAGCAGATTTCTGAGTTCGAGGCCAGCCTGGTCTACAGAGTGAGTTCCAGGACAGCCAGGGCTACACAGAGAAACCCTGTCTCGAAAAACAAAACAAAAAAAAAATCAAATTTTTAAAGTTTTGTTTAGAATATCTGTTACTCCTTAACAGTTTCTTTCCTTCTTATTTATTTACTTATTTACTTATTTAGAGATAGGATTTCTCTGTGTTGCCCTGGCTGTCCTGGAACTTGCTCTGTAGACTAGGCTGGCCTCGAATGCATGGAACTCTATCTCTACCCCCTGAGTGCTGGGATTAAAGTTGTTCACACCACACCCAATGTTCTTTGACAATTTCTTCCTTTCTTTTTTTTTTAAAGATTTATTTATTTATTATATATGAATACACTGTAGCTGTCTTCAGACACACCAGAAGAGGGCATCAGATCTCATTACAGGTGGTTGTGAGCTGGGAATTGAACTCAGGACCTCTGGAAGTGCAGTCAGTGCTCTTAACCACTGAGCCATCTCTCCAGCCTCTTTTGACAATTTCTTAAATGTGTGAAATATATATTGATCATATTCATCTTTAACTCTCCCCTCTATTCCCTCTTCTTAAAAAAAATGTGTGTGCATGCATGCTCCTGTATATTCAAGCGCAGGTATGTGTGTGCGTGTGTGCAGTGTGTGTGTGTGTGTGAGAGAGAGAGAGAGACAGAGAGACAGACAGAGAGACAGAGAGAGAGAGAGAGTTCTCTCCTTCTATCATGTGGTATCTAGGGCTCACATTTGGGTCTTCCACTTGGTGGCAAGCACGCTGACCCCTGTATTGCCTGTTATTTCTTACATATGCCAGGCTGGCTCTTGCCCCAGAGCCCTTGCTCTGGCTGTCCCTTCTCCTAGACACCTTTGGCCTACATCGCTACTTGGGTTTTTCTTCATCTCGGAGGATATTAATGTGTCCCCACCCCCACCCCATGCGCCACTGTTACTCACCCGTCACCTACTGTAGTTTTTTAGGTAGTCTTTATTTTATTGTCTTTACACTTACTGATTTTTGTGCATATAGCATGCATGTTTGCATGTGGAGGTCAGAGGACAAATCCCACTTCTCTCCTTCCAGCCTGTGTGGGCTGTGGGACCCAAACCCAGGCCTGGAGGCTCAGTGGTAAGCTCCTGTATCTACCTGGCAGTCTCCTGGGTCCTACTTCGTTTTGGTGTTTGAGACAGGGTCTTGCTTTGTAGCCTAGGCTAGCTGAGAACTCAACATGTAGCCCAGGCTGGCACAGAGTTTTCTATGTAGCTGAGGTTGCCCTTGAGCTCCCACTTGGTCTGCCACTACTTCCTTAGGTGCTGGGGGTTGAACTGAAGGTTTTATGCATGCTAAGCAAGCACTCTACCGCTCTCTCACTGACTACAGTCCCAGATAAAAGGCTTGTCATTTGTAACACTATGCACACGTGTGGGTCCCCCTTCTTTTAAAAAAAAAAGATTTATTTACTTATTTTATGTATATAAGTACACTACCATTGTTCTCTTCAGACACACCAGAAGAGGGCACTAGACCCCTTACAGATGGTTGTGAGCCACCATGTGGTTGCTGGGAATTGAACTCAGGACCTCTGGAAGAGCAGTTGGTGTTCTTAACTGCTGAGCCACCTCCCCAGCCTGTGCGTCCCCTTTCTTGATAGCCCAGGAGGTAGTCTGACACTGGTACACACTAAACTGGCAGCTCCAAATATGTTGGAAGATGTTCTGGTGGCTAATTACCAAATGCTGTGGGCAACAAGATTTTCCCATGTGATAGGCAAGCTTTGGCCAAGTTTCTAATGACTGCCGACACAAGCTGCCCTCATTTTACACTTCCTGGAACATTCAGAGGTGGTGAGAGTCTCACGGAAGACCTTGTGTTCACGATGAAGACTTCAGTGTGGGGTGAAGATCAATGGTATTTTTATGTGCAAGAAAGGCTAGGCTTAGTCGGTCTGATCTTGATGTATAGGTTATTAAAATGTAGAAATAATTTCTCTTCTGGCTGGTAATTGGTAAAGTAGTAATTTACATATTCATAAATGTACTGGGGAAAGCCACTTATGCTTCATCCACGCAACGGGACCTGGGGATCCAACTCAGCTTGTCAGGCTTGGTGGCAGCAGGTGTTTTTACCCGCTGAGCCATCTTGCTGGCCCTATTATCATTGTGGGGGGAGGGTTTGCTGAGTTGTGAACTTGAGATGTCCCTCAATAGTTACCTTATTCTTGTTTGTTTTGTTTTCCAAGATCGGGTTTCTCTGTGTAGCTTTGGCTGTCCTGGAGCTCGCTCTGTAGACCAGGCTGACTTCAAACTCACAGATATCTGCCTGCCTCCCTTGTCCTGAGAATAAAGGCGTGTACCACCATTGCCTAACTTTTATTTTTTGTGTTTAAAATATTTTTATTTTAAAATATTTCAAGGACTTCTCCCTGTCCTTTTCTTGAGACAGGGTCTTTCTGTGTAGCCCAGGCTATCCTGAAACTAGCTTTGTTGTTGTTGTTTGTTTGTTTGGGGGGGTTCGAGACAGGGTTTCTCTGTGTAGCCCTGGCTGTCCTGGAACTCACTCTGTAGACCAGGCTGCCCTCGAACTCAGAAATCTGCTTGCCTCTGCCTCCCAAGTGCTGGGATTAAAGGCATGCGCCACCACCGCCCGGCCTGAGACTAGCTCTTTAGACCAGGCTGACCTTGAACTCAGAGAAGTAGGTCCTCCTACTGCTGTCTCCTGAGTGCTTTATGAGGTTTGCCTGTGTGTATTTTCTGATGCTGTTGGAAATCAGAGAATACATTAGATCCCTTGGAACTAAGGTTAGTGATGGTTCTGAGACACCGTGTGGGTTGCAAGAAGGGGACCTGAGTCTTCTACAAGAACAGCTTGTCTATTTGTTTCTGAGCCAGTCTGTCCTTCAGCCCCCTGTGTAGTTACACGGGTGCTGGGCATCGGAACGCAGGTCTCATGCTTGAACAGTGTCCTAGTTAGGTTTCTATTGCTGTCATAAAAATCTCATGACCAAAAGCAATTTGGGGAGAAAGGGGCTTATTTGTTGCAACTTTCAAGTTGCTATCACTGAGGGAAGTCGGTGTAGGAACAAAAGGTGAGAATTGAATCGGAAGCCATGGAGTGCCCTGAGGTTGGGTATAAACCACCGCTCCTGGAGGTTTTGTTTAGTTTGGTTGAGAGGACATCTTGCTGTGTTGAAGGCTGGCCTTCACATCCTGGGCTGGAGATACTGCAGCCTCAGCCTCCTAAATAGCTGAGATCACAAATGGATAAGCTGTGCCTGGCATCCTGTGCTTTAATAGTTAGCTATTACTAGTTTGTGGTACAGGTGATCAAGCCTAGGACCTGTGCGGGCTAGAAAAACTGGAGACCCACATCCCTGTCCTGTGCTAAAAAAAAAAAAAAAAAAAAAAAAAAAAGGTCAGGCCAAGAGTGTGATGGCACAGACCTATAATCCCAGCACCTGGGAGACTGAGTCGGGAGGACTCTGACTTGCAGGCCAGCCTAGGATCCACAGCCAGGACAGATGTTGGTTAAGGACCAACAACAAAAATCCTCCTTTGGACCAGATGTTGTGGTGCACACTTGCAATCCCAGCACTCCACTGGCAGAGACAGGAGGACCATGAGTTTGAAGCCATCCTGGGCTAGAAAGTTAGACCCTGCCTCAATCTTCTGCTCTTCCCAGTAAAATGAATGCGGTGTGCAGGGGGGTGAGCACATCCAGGGAGTGTGTGGAACAAGCCATAGAATGAAGCAAGAAAATAAAAGGCTCTATTCATCTTGATTTTTTAAACTTTAAAGTAGCATAATTTAAGCCTTATTTAACAGTATACAGACTGGTAGTAGCAGTTTGAACATAATGTATATGCATAATTAAATGAGATTTTAAAAAACCCGTTTAAATGGCACAGCCACCGCAAGGCTCCACTTGGGTACGAGTTCTACAGCGGGACCTAAAGAGGAAGTGAAGTGTGGACCTTGAAACGGTGACCTGAATTCAAGTCCCTTACTAGCTATTTCCTAAACTATCTGATTATTGGCAAGTGACTGTCATTTCAGCCTCAGTTTTCCTCCCCGGAAAATGGATGTAATAGCAGCTGTCACTTCCGTGTGTATGCCTGGGCCCGCTAGGTCTGTGAGCTATGGCGAAGGTTTATCCTTTCCTGGAAGGGGGGAAAACAGGTGCAGAGGAGTGAAATAAAGAGGTAATATATTGGCCAGATCCCAAACCAGAGCTCAGTCAGTCCTCCAAGAGCAAGACGGGGTTAAAGCAGCAGATACATCAAGCAGCACTCTCAAAGAAAAGTGCCACATTCAGCGAGAGGAGGAGGTGGCCAGCACTGTCTTACCTCCCAGAGCCACCGCAAGAAAACCAGAGACAGAAGGGATGAAGCAGAGCGTTCATCAAACACGAAGAGCGGGACAGAAGCGCCCTCTAGTGGAGGAAGCAAGCACTAGCGCCAAGGGTCCTGAGGATTCTAAACACAATTGGAGGCATTCAGTATCTCAGATGAAACAGAGACTGGGTAACTGGTCCAGGGCTACCTAAGCTGTATGTGGTAGATTGAGGCTGGCTGGTCTGTTCTCCGGACCTCACTTTCCAAGGGCCTACGGCTCTTGGAATAAAGGGCAGAGACTATGCAGAGTCCTAAAGACTGGACACAAATCCCTGGGCTTTTCCATCGAAGGCCACTTTGCTCCCTCAAAGCAAAGGGGCTAGGAGGGCTCTACACGTAGCCCCATCTCGAAACTTAAGAATCTGTGTTGCTCCAGTCTTCGGGTTCTGCTTCCTGCTAAAGCTGGACTTGTCCTGTGGGCTCCCTCCAATCTTCCTTTTTTTATTCTCTCTCTCTCTCCAGTGCATAGCCCCATTGCCCAATTACAAACTGGTTCAGATCCATACAGAACCCGAGGCAAAGAACAGATTCCTGTACCCTGCTGTTCATCTAGCCCCCGATGCAGGCACCAGAGCTTCAGCCGCCTGTCAAGCTTAAGAGTGCAGGGTTGGGGTATTCTGGGTTCTCGATGACCCCAGGCCCAAACTTGAGCTCCAGGAAGCGACGGTAGTTGTTAGGGGCCTGTGCCATGAAACCCGCAAAGGGCAGGGGGACCAGCGGCTGCAGGAAGTGCTCTGGGAACTCTACATCCTGCCGGTGGTCCAGCCACGTGTCCTTTGTCATGACCCCATTGCGGGGGTAGAAGGGCCAGAGGTCCACGTGCAGGTGGTTGCTCTCGCTGTACTGCACTCGGAAGAAGTCGCCCTCCACCGCCTTCTCCCACACGAAGCCCCGTTCATCCACTACCGAGCCAGCCTCGGCGCCCCGCAACTGCTCGCAGTTGCCCACGTCCTCCAGGTAGATGCCCAGATCTACATCGTAGTCCCATGGGATGATGTCGCCGTGGCGGGCTGCACCCAGCAGCGAGCCGCCCTCCAACCAGTAGCGCACGCCCGCCGCCTCCAGCACGCCCACCACGTAGCGCGCCGTTTCGCGCAGTGCGCGCAGGCAGCAAGGTGGTGTCCAGCGGCCCTCGTATAGGTAAGCGGGTGTGTCGCCCGCCACCGTACCGAAGCAGCGCGGACTCTCCTTGCTGCAGCCAAACCACTCGAGCCGCCCGCCTTCCCAGCTCACCAGGCGGATGCCCAGCAAGCGCAGCAGCGCCGCCCTCCGTGAGCGCCCCTCGCGATCCGCCTTCCAGCGCGCGTGGGCGGTGGCCAGCGGGGGCTGGCGCGCCGCGGCGAAGGTCAAGTCCAGCAGCTGCACTGCCCAGCCACGCAGGGCGGTCTGTAGGAAGAGGCTGGTGGCCAGTGGCCGCGCCAGGGGCACCGAGAGGTTGAAGAGGTCGCGGGAGCGCATCAGCAGCACCGCGTCGCCATCCAAAGCGTCGCAGCGGGGCGCGCTGGGCGCTGGGCCATAGCGTGCAGTCCACTCCCGCAGGCTGATGTTCAGTGCTAGGCACCGCGCTGGGTTGGCGGTGGCGACCGGGGCGGCCACCAAGCGCGCGCTGCTCCCCCGGAGCGCCTCCACCATTCGCTCCAGTTGGCCTGGTGACTCGGCCCGCGCTCCATCAGGCACCAAGGCCACGAACTCGGTGGCTACGTAGGTCTCCGGGCGCGAGGCCGCCGCTGGCCGGTCCAGGGCTGGCTGGAGCAGGGCCAGGCGAACGTTAGGGATGCGAGGCAAGGCCAGGGGTGGGTAAGGGAGTGTGTCGGCCGCCACCACCACAGGCTGGGCTGGGTCCTGCTGCAGGAAGGAATCTACTAGCTCTGGCACAGCGTTGTCAAAAGCCTCAAATTCCCGAATCAGGACGGTGACTCGGGGACCAGTGGCAGAAGTCCGGCGGGGGGCCCGGGCCCGGGAGTTTCTGGGCTGGTGCTGTAGCCATGACACATAGAAGAAGACTAGGAGGTTGAGGATGATGGCGGCTGCCAGGGCAGCCCAGCAGCGGGTGAGCCGCATGGGGCCCGATGTCAGACCCTAGCTGGGGTGGGGTCCAGGGCATCCTGGGGAGACAGGATGAAAAGGGAGTGTGGAGCAAGTTGTCAGCATTCCCTACCCTCGAACTGTCAGTTCCTCTTCCTGGATCTGATTTCAGGCCCTCCAGGAATTCCTAGGTTGGCTCATGCCCTGCCTTAGGCAAACCACTTGAAAACATCACATCATCTAGGGGAGGGGAGGTGGTCACTGTTTCCCATTCAACTACACAGTGAGTTCTTAAGTCAATATGTGAGGGACTAAAACCCAAACACCCCTGCAAACGAACAAAACAATGCTGGTTGCTGCCAGACGGTGAATTGAGAGCTGTGGACTGTTTGAACCTGGGGCCCTACCCACGCTAGACAAATGCTCTACCACTAAGCCGCATGCTCTCACTGATGGATCCCGGAAGGTGGTTTAAGCACATCCCCAGCCCTCAGTTTTAGTTTTGCAAGGTGAAACGCTTCTGGCTCCTTATTTGCCAAACAATATGAGGGTGTTTAGAGGACTCCGTAGTTTCACACATTATCCCAGGCTATGCAGCAGAGGCCAGCCTTGGACTGTTGGTCTTTGTGCAGCTAACTCTGTGCCTCCCGATGTTGGGTTTACAGCTATGGCTCACAGTTGTAGATGTACTTAGTACTACTGAACTGTGTGCTGGAGACTGGTTTAAGGTGATGCGTTGGATGCCAGGTATATTAGATCACAATTTTTAAAAAAGATTTATTTATTAGGTATACAGCCTGCATGTATGCTTGCAGCCCAGAAGAGGGCAGCAGATCTCATTACAGAGGAGATATGAGCCACCAAGGGAATTGAACTCAGGACCTCTGGAGGAGGAGCCAGTGCTCTTAACCACTGAGCCATCTCATCAACCCTGGAAGGGGGGGGGTGTCTTAAAAGTCATAGTACATTCTGTAATCCAGCCCTCAGAAGAGGGAGGGGGATGGGAAGTTCAAGGCAAGCATGAGCTACATAGTGAGACTTTGTCTCAAAAAACCAAAACAAAACAAAACACAAAAATCCACAACTAGGAAGAGAAGGGAAGAAGCAACAGCAGCTGTCCTTTAATCCCAGCACTCAAGGGGCAGAGGCAGGTGGATCTCGATGAGTCTGAAGCCAGTCTGGCCTATTGAGTGAGTTCCAGGATAGCTAGGGCTATAGGCGCTATTTTTTTTTTTTTTCATTTAAAACAGGGCTGGGGGCAGGGCTTTGCAATAGAGGGTGTGATGGTTTGTATATGCTTGGCCCAGGGAGTAGCACTATTAGGAGGTGTGGCCTTGTTGGAGTGGGTGTGTCACTGTGGACATGGATTTAAGACCCTCAGCCTAGCTGCCTGAAGTCAGTATTCTGCTAGCAGCCTTCAGATGAAGATGTAGAACTCTCCGCTCCTCCTGCACCATGCCTGCCTGGATGCTGCCATGCTTCTTGCCTTAATGATAATGGACGGAACCTCTGAACCTGTAAGCAAGTCCCAATTAAATGTTTCCTTACAAGACTTGCCTTGGTCATGGTGTCTGTTCACAGCAGTAAAACCCTAACTAAGACAGAGGGCTAGTCTAACCCATCAAGGGGTCCCCTGGAGTGGTGGCTTTTAGTGGCATAACTGCATAACATGAAAAGATACCTTATGTTTAATCCACAATACAGTCAAGAAGAAGCGGGGGAAACACAAAGCAGGGCTGGAGAGATAGGTCAGCGGTAAAGAGCGCTGGTTGCTCTTCCAGAGGACTGGAATTCAATTCCCTGCAACCACATGGCTGCCCACAAGCATCTGTAACTCCAGTTCCAGGGGCTCTGGTGCCCTTTTCTGGTCTCTGTGGGCACCAGGCACGCATGTGGTGCTTAGACATGCATGCAGGCAAAACACCCATACTCTTAGAGAACAATAAATTAGGTCACGGAGAGGTGAGGTCACTGGCTTACGGTCATGCATCTGAGAAGAGGGACATGGAATTTGATGCAAGAAGAAGCTAGTTGCTGGATCCTGCTTCAAAACAGGAAGCCACTGGCACCTGCCTTTAACCTCAGCATCCTAGAGGCAGAGACGGGGGCTTCTCAATGACTAACACCAGCCTGGTGTATACAAACCTTGTCTTAAAACCAAAAAATCCCCAGGAAACTGTCTTGTTTTGTTGAGATGGGGTCTCACTAAGTATTGAAGGCTGGCTTTGAACTAAGAGCCTCTTGCCTTGTGACTGCTGGGATGACAGGCGTATGCCACTGTCTACCCAACGGATTTGTTTTTGCAATCACATATCCCGACTCTTCACGCTACAGCTAAGCTGATGGGTGCTGTTAACGTGAGTATGGCACGTGACTTACCAGCCGAAAGTCAGCATATCAGCAAGTAGGTACGTACTTCGTGCCAGGGTGTTTTGGGTTTGTTTTTGAGACAGGGTCTTCATGTGGGCCAGGCTGACCTTGAACTAGGTATGTAGCTGAGGGATGATAGCTACAAGACAAAGGCTGGGTTGGGATGGCAGGCATACGCCACCATCATTCACTAGCGCTCTACCAGCCGAGCTGTCTCCTCAGCTCCAACCCCAGCCTCTATGGTTCTGCAGGTCTGAGAAGACAGGTGCACCAGTACAACTGAGTGGTGCAGTAGGAGAGAAGCACGGGGCATGGGTGGGTAACACGGGGCTTTGCCTAGGACAAGTGGACAGGGAAGAGTGAAGCTGAGTTCTTACTAGCTTTCCATTCCTTCCCCTACACGCTATATATGCTGAGTGTGCTGTTAAGTGCTTGTAATCCCAGCACTTGGGAGGTGGAGGCAGGAGGATTGAAAATTCAAGGTCATCCTTGACCACTGCTTGAGTTTGAGGCCAGCCTGGGCTACATGAGATTGTCAGAAGAAACAAAAAACAAAACAGTGCTTAAAGATGGCCCAGCAGGTGCTTGACACCAAGCCAGACCTGAGTTTAGTCTCTAGGACCTAAACAATAGAAGGAAAGAATCAACTCCAGCAAGCTGTCCTCTGGCCTCCTCACATGCATATGCACACAATAAACAAATGAACAAATGAACAAATGTAAGTGTATGTAAGTGTATCACTTGGAATTAACCTGAGCCTTATCAACCACAGTAGGTACAAAAAGGAGACCTACTTAGGAAAGCCTTTAAGGACAGAAAGGGCAGTTATCCATGTAATGACTGTGACATCAAGGGACTCTTACCTCCCTAGGTTTCAGGCAGAGGGTGATCAAGAAGAGTGGTTCCACCTTGGGTCATCTGCCCTGCTGAGAGGAACCAGAAAACATCAAGTGAGCCGACTCCTCACAACAAAGTGCAATCCCATTCTACCCATGAAAGTAGCTTATGAAGTCACTGACTCTTTGTCCGTTTGAAGTCCAAAAGCTTGGTTACCACTTCAGTTGTCTCAGGAGTGGCTTGGTGGGTAGGAGTCATCAATTGTAAGTTATAACTATCCCTCTTCCATAATGGTGTCCATAGGGCAGAAGTGACAGCAGTTGTTACCATGACAATCTCTTCCCTAGACACATGCATCCTTTGGAGCTAATCCTCAACATCCTCTCTATCTTACTGGACCTGACTGCTAGGGTCACCAGACAGTGGGAGATTGCTCTGTTATAGTAACCAGGGCATGACTTTGACTGTTTCTCATCTCTCTGGAAATGGTCCAGGCTCTGTAACCATAGCAACTGTCCCACAGCAGCACTTGTCTTCTAAATAAAAACACCTTGTTGGTTTGTCTATGGACCTCCCATATGAGAAGGGAAGATGGTTACCATGGTAATGCCAACTGGGCTGGGTGGGGGAGGAGTGGGACAGAGGCATTCCTCTTAGAGGAATGTCTTTAGGGCTGGGTCTTTTTTCTACCTGAGCACTAGGTGAGGAGAGGTTGCTATAGTAACTGATGAGGATAGGGTCAGGAGAACCACCTGGGACTTGGGTTACCTTAGCAACCTCCTCCTAGTGCAAGGTTTGGGACTCCACATATGCAAAATGGGAAGGGGCTGGAAGGGGCCTCCAGGATGGATAGGGTTACTATGACAACCGACTTCTTCAGGACATAGCCCACTCCTCACCCCAGGTCTTTTTTTTTTTCTTTTAGTAAGTGAAAGAGATGGGGGTATATTGACATCTGGAGGGGATAGGACTCTGATATTGGGGAGAAGGCAGAAAAAAAGTCCGGTCTGGTCTCACTCCTGCAAAGGAGACAATTGCGAGGGACCCTAGGTCCTTTGCCTCCCTTGAGGCAGCCCCTCCCCCTCCCTGTCAGCACCCCCGCCCGCGCGCACCGCCGGGGTCGACCCTGTGGGCGAGGCTCGCGCCCAGCCCCGTGCTCGTCTCCGCTCCCCTCGCCCGCCCAGCGCGCGCGCGCGCACACGAGGCGGGGGTGTGTAAGTGCGAAGTTGCGCGTCCGCGCAGGCGCGCGAGGCACAGCGGGCGCGGGCCGGCCCCGGGGCCTCCATGATGGAGGAGCGAGCGGCCGCCGCGGTCGCATCGGCCGCCTCCTCCTGCCGCCCTCTGGGCTCGGGCACGGCTCCCAACCCGACGGCGGCGGCCCCGGCCTCCAGCCCGGCTCCTGGGTCCGGCCCGGTAGGTAAAGGAGGTGGTGGCGGAGGCAGCCCGGGCCCCACGGCGGGCCCGGAGCCCCTCAGCCTGCCTGGGATCCTGCACTTTATCCAACACGAGTGGGCACGCTTCGAAGCCGAGAAGGCCCGCTGGGAGGCCGAGCGCGCCGAGCTGCAGGTGAGCGCCGCCGCTGCCCTCCCGCGCCCCCCGCCCCAGCCCTGCCCGGCCCGGCCTCGCCTCACCCGCCGCCGTCGCCGCCATCTTGGAGCAATGGCCGCCGGGACGGCCGGGAGGGGGCGGGCAGGGACGGCGACGGGCCGGCGGCGGGGTCCCCGGGGCCTCGGGGCGGGACAGGGCCGGGACCGGTCAGAGGAGCTGAACCGGGCCGAGTCGGCCGGGAGCCGCGAGTGGGAGTGACGGACCTAAGCGCAGAGAGTCTGGGCGATGCGACTTGGGGGTCCTCGGGGACAGAGTGCTGAGAAAGTGGATGGGGTCTGGGCGAATAAACATGCTACACCTCACCTCCGGACCCTAACCAGAAGCTGGCTGTCAGGGTAGGATGGACTAGGTGTCTAGTGGGGTGACACATTCGTAGCATCCACTGGGAGCAAGGAGTGAAGAGAGGGAGGCTGGAAGCTGGGATGGGGTACCTTGGGGGAGTGGCTTGCCTGGAGCAATTGAAAGGTGGCTGTGTGAGGGCTTCAGAGGGTGGGAGGAAGATTGATGGGAGGTGTCCCGGGACGAAGTGTGTGGCCTCCTGTCAAGAAGGACACTTTGGGCATGTGTGGCTACAGTGTAGGGGAGGGATCGCTTGAGTGGAATCACGGAGAGGGCAGAGGACATACTTCAGGCTCCCCTAGGAGAGCTTGAGAGTAGGAAGCGACAGTTTGGGTGCTTGAAGGGATTAGGGTTGAAAGCTTTGAGGATGTTAGGTAGAAAACGCTGAACTGTAGGGGCGTTTGTTGGGTATATCCAGTGTGAAGACAGGAGCGCCTGTGATGCATACGGTGAAGAGGAATGGAGGTGCCTTTGGGTGATGAGTGAGGAGGAAAGTCGGCGTGAGGAGGGACTCCATGAGGGAAGTGTTTGTGTAAGGTCCTGTGAAGGGTCTTGATGGTTTGCGGAGAAGAATGTGTCGGGTGATAATTCGTGGAGTAGGAGTTGGGCTGGGGCTCTGTGACCTTGAGCAAGGTACTGCTTGTGGATAGTGGCCTTCCATTTGTCGGGAGTCAGAAAGGTGAGCACTTCAAGGCCTTCAGGGATGGGCCACCAGGAGTCAAATGGTTCCTAGGTTGGGATGTTATTAACAAAAACAGTCAGTGCTTGGTTTCTGGCAACCCAGCTTTCTGTTTCCAGTGTGCTCTTTCCTGTCAAATTGAAATAAGGCCCCAGATAAATGAGTGATTGAATTTTTGTCCATGAGATGAATGCCGAGAGCGTTTGAGTGTTGTGTATCTCCCATCCTCGAGAGAGAAACCCTTATGTAAGTGCTCCTCGTGGTGTGCCCAACTCTAACTCGGGCTCTGTCCCAGCATACATCTCATCAGCTCTTCTCAATGCCCCATTATGTAGGCAGGGCCAATGTCATTACCTCACTCAGCAATAATGACAGCAGCTGCTATTTATTCAGGGCATATTATGTGCCTGACACTGTATTAGGTATTATGATACATGCTATCATTTAATTTTTGTGGCATTCTGAGAGGGGAAATGGTATCCCTTCCTCTGTTTTTTAATAAGCAGGAGACGGAGATACTGCGGATCCCAGCAGTGGTGGCAGTGCTCACCTGTGTCTTTTCCCTCTGTGACACTGAGCACAGGTGAGAAGGGTCTCTAGGGAAGCTTAGAGGCCTTGCCAGGTCACCCAGGCCATCAGAGCAGAGTGGGCAGGCTGAATCTTGGCCTTTGGAGCTGGACAGGAGCACAGCTGAAAGCATCCACTGTAATGTCCTTTCAGTGTAGTCCAGACTCCACTCAGACTTTACAGGTGTGCTACCTCCTAATGAGAGATCTTTCCACTCACCTAGTAACCTTCTGTGGAATCACAGAGAATACTCTGTAAGGCTCCAACATCATCAACTTCATGGTTTTGCTACTTTTGTTACATTATAAGTCAAACATAAGTGCGTGTGTGTGTGTGTGTGTGTGTATGTGTATGTGTGTGTGTGTACACATGTCCAGGATGTGCACATGCCCAGAATGTGCTAGAATATACTGCATTTGACACTTCCTAAGTCGTGCATTTTAGTTCCGTTTCCCTGTCAACACAGAGAGTACTTATTTTTGATAACCTCGGTAGTGTTCCCTTGGGTATTTATACCATAGCTTATTTATTTTGACCCTTGTCAATGGATTTTCAGGATCATTTCTACTGTTCCCTCTGCCCGAAATGGCTTTGAGGCTTCAAGAGCAGCTCCGCTGTTAAAGTATGTGCTGTGAAGGATGAAGGCTTGAGTTTGATCCCCTAGAGCCCACCTGAGAAAGCCAGGCCTGGTGGCACACATGTGTAATCCAGTATGGCAGGTTCCTGGTGCACACTGGCTGGTCATCCTTCCCAAGGGGGTGGGGGGAGCACACAAGAGAGAGAGCTAGCTCCAGGCTAGTGACGCCCTGTCTCCAAAACGAAGTGGAGGGTCCTGAGGAATGGTGGTTCCACATGTATGTACACACATATACGAAATATGGCTTTGCTGGCAGTGTTTATCCTGAGAGTGAGTGACGTGGAATAGTGAAGCGGGAGAGTTTGTAAAATGATGATCGCTCTGTCTTTTGTACTTTCTACATTTTTATTTTTTTATTTTATTGTTTCATTTCAAGACAGGATCTCACACTGTAGTCCTGGCACTCACTATGCAGAACAAGCTAAGCTGGCCTTAAACTCAAAGAGATCCTGCCTCTTCCTCTGAGGGTTGGCATTAAAGGTGTGCATTGTTGTGGAGGTGAGATGACAAATTGCAGGAGTTGATTCTTTCCTTCCACCATGTTGATCTTGAGATAGAACTCAGGCAGCAGGCTTGGCAGCTGGCATCTTTATTTTCTGAATAATCTCCTTGGCCCACACACCTCTTTCTGTTTATTTATTTATTTATTTGCTTGCTTGCTTGCTTGCTTGCTTATTTTTGAGGCAGGATCTTGCTGTATAGCTATGGTTGTATTGGAATGCCATATGTAGATCGGTAGATTAGACTGGCCTTAAATTCCCTTTGGCTGATCCCCCACACCCCCCAATCCCCAATCCCTCTGGATCCTGGGTGCTGGAATTAGAGGTACTACCTCATCTGGCCCCTTTTTGGTTTTTTGAGTCAGGTCTTTACTCTGTACCATAGGATGGCTTTGAACTCACAATTCTTGTGCCTCAGCCTCTGGAGTGCTAGAATTACAGTCCTGCACCATTACAGGTGTAACCCCATCCCATCCTTTGTAATGGGTGTGCACCAACACATCTCACAAGCAGCATCTCTTCTCACCTATCTTTCTTCCACTCAGCACTCACACCTTCTGAAGGGCAATGTCCATGAGACCCTTCATGACTGGGCAGTGTCAGTACTGAGGAGCTGGCCCTGGCTGTTTTTGATAAGAGGCCCACTGTGCAGTCAGTGCCCAGGACACCAGAGGAAGAAGGCTGGCCCAGAGACTGCAGAGATGAGAGCAGAGAAGAGGCGGAGGTGTGCAGTGATATAAGTGGAAATGTGTTAGGATGGTGGTTCCTGCCCCTTAGAAGCTTCTAGACCAGCAGAAGAGCTGCTTCACTCAGGAGACTGCAGAGAACTGTCTGCACTCATGCATAAAGTCAATTATGGGGCTCCGTTGTGAGCTTCTAAGAAGGGAGCCCTTGGGGAGAGGTCTGAACCTGATGTTCTTGAGATGGAGAGAGTAAATGAGACATCCAGGAAAAGGACTGTGCAGTCCCCTCTTCCTCTCCACCTCCTGTGGAAGCTCTCCTGCCAGGAGTTTTGTGACCTATAGGCTCCAGGCCTCACACTGAATGGGAGCTTGAGAACTGGAAGGTCTGAAGCAGGACTGGCTCTGTCTTCAGGACTTTGCCGTTGAGAGAGGTGGTAGCCCCAAGTCAGATCTCGGTGTTGGGATCCTGTGGATGGAGGCCATGGTATTTCCAGCTCCCAGCTCTGCTGTCGTCATGGAAGAGACTGACAGGCTAGTGCCAGCACTTCCCGTTTTTGGTGGGATTCCACTGATCCAAGACACTTCAGCCACGTCTTCCTGGTTTTCCTTCCTCTTCTCTACCAGAGGAACTGGGAAGAGGACAGAAGAATAGAAGGTCTTGGTGAGGCCCCCACTCAGCCATTCTTCCAGCCATTCTTAAAAAAGTTTTCATTGTATTTTTTCACTCATGTGTTATTGAGTATTAATGCCACCATACCCAATTTTATGTGATACTGGAAATCAAACTTAGGACTTCATATGAGCTAGGCCGACATGCTAACATGCTCAGCGCAGTCCCAGGGTTTCTGTAGCTACCTTTTATTGGGGTGCCTCTTCTTTGAGCTTTGCTAATTCACACTTGGCTCTCCACATTGTAGCTGTAATGACTTTGATAACTTGCACACCTGGTTGTAGTTTTCTTCTGTGGATTCCCTGTGCTCCCCAGTAGACATCTTGTTCATCTCGGTGGCCGTGATCCTCTCAACCTACTTTCTTCACTAATTGTAGTTCACATTCTGATGCAGCCCTGATGCAGTGTTAAGAGTGTCTTCAGTCTGCCCTGCCCTGCCCTGTTGTCTGTGTCTTCTGCCTGCAGCTCTCTCCCTCCCTCAGCTATCCTCTGGTCGGCTAGTCCCAAGTTAAAATGGAGATGAGAGATAGCAAGCCTGGGGCACAGGGACAGGGAGATAGGTCAGGGCCCTGCTAGCACAAAGAGCAGCATTGCTGGACATCTGAACACTGCCTGGAGCCAGCCAAGTCAGCCTGTGGACTTTTGGGGGAGCCCTGGAAACACTTAAGCAGATCTGTGATGTTCAGGAAGTGGGGCCCCAGAAAGACAGACATCTGCAAGGGCCTGGCTTCCCAAGCTCTCTTCCTGATGATGGGCTTTTTTGGTTCAAGGGTTAGGTCCCCTTGACTAGATGGGCTTTTGAATGTGGACAGGGAGAGAAAATGAAGAGAGGCAGAGGCAGTGACTGACACAGGAGCCCTCATGCAGGCTGGAGCTGCATATGAGAGACAGTGCTCACAATGCTCCATTCTCTTAGCAGAGGAAGACCCCATGAACTACTTAGTGTTTGCAGCAGATCAGCGGCGGAGCCAGGCCTGGCTCTTAGGCTGCCTTGGACTGGAACAGTGAAGTTGTTCTGAGAAAGTCAGCAAGAGTGCCAGGCTCTGGGTTTTGGTAGAAGGCCTTCAAACATGATTGGGGAACCACAGGATTCTGTCTTAAGGCAGTTGGTCCAGTGTCTCTAAATGACATGGTGACAGACTGGAGCCTACTGGGGCAGCCCAAGCTAGCAGACAGACAGCCGAGCTTGACAGGAACCATAGGCCATGTCTGTGGCACATCTTCTCATGCCTTGGGCAGCATAAAGCTTCGAACAGCTTCTTCTGCATTGCAGTGGGAGCTGAGCCCAGCCTCCTACTCTTGTCCCTGAGTGCCAGAAGTAGCTTCCTACGCTTCCCAGCAACAGATGCTCTGAAGGAAGAGTGGGACACCACCTCCACCAGCAACCATAGGGACAGCAGCTGATGGGGGTTGGGGAGGAGTCCAGGGCTGTTAATACTTAACACCCCCAACACTATCCCTGACGTAACTCCTCAGAAGGCTACAGCCAAGTCAGGCCCTGCTGTCCCTGTTTGAACTTCATGGGTTAACAGTGACTCCTCAGTGTTTTTTTAAGGTAGAGTCTTAGCCTACCCTGGACTTGAACTAATAGCAATCCTTCTGCTTCAGCCTCCCGAATGCTGAGATTATAGACTGAGCTCTTTTATGGGTGACATACCCAGAGACCCTGGAGGTGGGTTCAGTGTGTCATCACTTCTCACTGAACCCTGGCATCGCTGTAGGGGAGGGGCTAAAACTGCTTGAATAAGGAAGGAGACAGCCCCTGGAACTGCTGTCCTCCTTGAATAAGGAAGGAGACAGCCCCTGGAACTGCTGTCCTTCCTTTTCTGTTCCAGGCTCAGGTGGCTTTCCTCCAGGGCGAGAGGAAAGGGCAAGAGAATCTAAAGACGGACCTGGTGCGGCGGATCAAGATGTTGGAGTATGCACTGAAGCAGGAGAGGTGAGCTCTGCCCCTGCTAGAGACGGGTGGCAGGCTGCGAACTATGCTTTATCAGCGAAAGGAGTTTCTCCACTGTCCTCTTCTCTTCATCCCTAGGAGTGTGTAAAGTAGCTTGTAGTGGCTGTGATTCAGATGCCGGTAGCAGCATTAGGGCTTTGGCAAACCTACTATGTGCTCTAGTTCTGGACAGCAGCTACCTTGCTCATTTTTGCCATAGTCTCTGATGGTGTTGCTGGCTGTGGTTCTGGCAAGGAACTGAGGTTTCAGGAGGAGGGAGGGCAACTTTGAGAATCCTAGAGCTTGTAGGTCAGAGAGCTGATGAAGGAGGCCCTGGGCTTCCTCAGGTGGTCTCTTACCCTGTCTACTCTCCTCTCTCTACTCATTTGTTATTTGTTCTTTTAGGGCCAAATATCATAAACTGAAGTTTGGTACAGACCTGAATCAGGGGGAGAAGAAGGCAGATCTGTCAGAACAAGGTACCCACCCTTGCATCCTCCCTCGGCCACCCCCAGCAGAGCAGCTGCTTGGCGTAGAGAAGTTGCAGATGGCCATGGGATGGGGTAGAGTTGCATCCTCAGGGTCTCTTCCCACCACTCCTGTGTCAGACTGTGTCCAGTCTTCCCTGTCTGCTATCCTGCTGTCCTCCCAAGGACAGGATGGATGGCCAAGCATTTCCTGCACCCTTCTGTTAGGAGAGTGAGTGTAGGCTGTGGAAAGTATAGGAAAAACTTGATTGAAGAGGTGGTGTTTGCACTGGGTTGTCATTCAGTCATTAACCCCCTCCCACTCCCCAGTTGATATGTGAGGTGCTGGCTTCCTGTCACAGAGCAGGGCACAGCAGAGACCAGAATAGACATGTGCTTCTTCTGTGGGTGCTGGCAGCTTAAGCTTCTGGAAGGAGGAAACAGATGTCCATGAGTGTGACAGAATGTTTTCAGGTGAAGCACTAGTGTCTAGTCAGGAGGACCCAGTGGCTAGGGCACCAAGTGTGCACGGCTGTGCCATTGATGTTTGGAGCTTGGTTCCAGGGCTCTGTGGAATTCTTGCTTGCAGGGCTAAGGGAGGTCTTCATTTCATGCCATGCTTCTCTTACCGAGATGTAAACTCTGGACTGAGGTGGCCTAGTCATCCAGCCGGGCCTTAGTGGATAGATGTCCAGTGGATACCTGACGAGTAATGCAGAGAGTTGGTTTCCCAGCCAAACTCACCTCAGCCTGAGAGGTGAAATGTATAGCCGCTACCCTCGGATCTCAGCATGGGAAACACAGCAGCTTCAGGAAGTGCACAGCTGATTTGACTCAGCCTGCTCATTTTCTAGAGCCAGACTACCCACTCCTTACATAGGAAAGCAGCAGCCAGCCATGCATGTGGGGGCACAGCTCTGCTATTCTTGGCGGTGGTTGGCAGGGTCCAGTCAAGAGCCTAACAGTGAGGAGAGCTTCCAGGAGAGGAGTCACTCAGAGGGGGTGTGTGGGTGGAGAACACTCGGGAAGTGGGGACAGGCCTGTGATGGTGGCAAATTCATTCAGACTTGATGTGAGAAGATGGAGGGGTGATGGGAGGGTGTCCGTGCCCTGACTGAGACAGCCTTCTCTTCTCTCTCTCTCTCTAGTCTCCAATGGCCCTGTAGAGTCCGTCACACTGGAGAACAGCCCACTGGTGTGGAAGGAGGGGCGACAGCTTCTGCGACAGTGAGTGATGGGAGGGGAGGGACAGGATGGGACATGACATACTTGGCTCAGGAGATAGGCTCAAGGAATCCACAGTCCTTCCTGGATTCCACCCAGACAGAGCCTGAATGACCTGTCACCCAGTGGGAAATAGACAGAAGGTTTGTAGCAGGGGGGTACCCCGACACACACACACCCCAAACATGACCCTATATGCCTCTCTTTTTAAAGGAGTAATGTTGGGGAAACATATTTTTAACAGAGTGAAGTTAAATGATAGCAGTAGTAGTACCGGGGTGCTGTGGGCTCAGTACAGAGAAGGTAAGCTCTACTGGCCTGCCCTCTGAGAGGTGAGCTGTGCTCCTCCTTGACTGGAGAAAGGCCTCAAACACAGAATCAGTGGCCACCAGCCTCTAGCCAAATCTGGATTTTTATTACTGTAAAGATTTTAGCATTTTAGGCTATCCAAGAAGTAAATAATGTTATTTCTGAGGGAAGGTGACCCTGTTGGTCTTTGTGTCAGTCTTAATACTGGAGAGGTGCTGTGAGCCCCTCAGGCGGTGGGTTCCATGCTGTGTAAGAGTCAAGATGCTTTTGTTTTGTTTTAACTGTCCCTGTGATTTGTAATGCTTTTACTAAGTACTGTCAAGTCCCACATATGCATTAGCTAAATTACACAGTGTTAAGAACTCAATGGAGTGGAGTGTGTGGTTTAAGGGCTCAGCCCTGAGTCGTTGTGGGCCAGGCCCTGGGGTCCCTCTACAGCACCACAGAAATCACCACGGTGTAACAGGCACCCTGCTGGAAAGGCAGAGATCTCCAGAGCCAGTCCATCCTGAGGTGTTGTGTTGAGAGCTACTTTGAAACTTAAGTCTAAGATGAGTGACAGACCTCAGGAAGCTGACCGTCACTGTCTTCAGCTCAGTGTCTACAAACCACTGGCAGCTTAAGTGGCCACGGATAGCCCCAGAGGGTTGTGAGACAAATATAATGGGAGCCCGGGCTGGCACTGTGCCTCCCTGTCCTCTGGCACCCCATAGAGGCCACAGGGAGATCTCAGGAAGTCACGCCTAGAGCCCACTTTCCAGATTGCCAGGCGTCTCTGTCTCTGTTGTCCCCTGGGGGATAACAGCTTGGGCCACACACAGGCATTGCAGAGGTAGGACAAGAGAAGAAGGGCACAGGCATCCAGTGGGTCCTGCAGCAGAGCAGCCAGGCAGTGTTGTCCCTTAACTGTGGAAGCCGCAGATACCCACGATTGACTTTTTGATCTTCTCTTCTTTTTCTTTTTCCTTTAGGCCAGTCTCAGCTGGCTTCAGTTTTTTAAGTTGCAGAAGTAATAAATGCTCAGGTATAGAAGTAAGTAGACCTCAGGCTGCGGATGTAGCGCAGTGGTAGAGCGCTTGCCTCGCATGCTCAAGGCCCTGGGGTCCATCCCCAGTACTGCAGAAAAAAACAGTGTACTCTTGTGTCCTGTATCCTCCCCTGCAGAGGTCACTGTTGCTCAGTTTATGTCTGTCTTGTAGGCAGCCAGGAAGCAAGCACAGGGGTGTGTCTGTGTGTGATGACAGCATACACACACCATCACACTCTTGTTTCCATGGTTATAAAACCCGGAATCACGTGGGAGCATGGAGCAGCGTCCACCATGTTCGCTGTGCTGCTGGTCATAGCCATCTCTCTGTGGCACTCTGCCTTTGTCACCTCTGCCTAGCGTCCATCAGTGGACATCTGGCTGTTCCTGCTCGTGGGCTCCCCTACGATTGGTGTTGGGGACAGCGTGTGCCATAGCAGCGTGCATGGGGACCAGGGGCTCCATTGATCAGTATCGGAAGCCAAGCTGCTGCTCAGGGCTGCTTCTGAAAAGCTGCCATCTGCTCTTTGGTGGCCCCTCAGAAGGCTGCTGGCTTCTGCGAGGCCCCAGCAGTCAGAAGCAACTCGATTCATGTGTTACCTGCCCTGGCTCTGCTCCCACAGATACCTGGAAGAGGTGGGCTACACAGATACCATCCTGGACATGCGGTCCAAGCGTGTGCGTTCCCTTCTGGGCCGTTCGCTGGAACTCAATGGGGCCGGTGAGCCTGTCGAGGGGGCCCCCAGGGCTTCCCCGGGCCCTGGGGGACTTAGCGGTGGCGAATCTCTACTAGTAAAACAGATTGAGGAACAGATCAAGAGGTGAGGCCCCATGCAGCCTTTGTCTTCCTTCCTTCCCCTGGGGAAGGCTGGGCAGGAAGTCAGGTGCTCCCAGCTACTCTGCCAGCCCTTCTAGATTGTGTTGTGTGCTTCCTCTTCAGGTTGTCACATGGCTTCTTTTTCTAGCTGAGGACAGACCTTAGTCGGGTAGGGTAGGATGGGGTTGGAGAGGGATTGGCTGCAGAGGATAACCTGTGAGGCCTCCACTCTTGTCTTTACGGACTCGTTTTGTTCATCTTCCCACCAGTAGTTGATACCCATCAGAAGCAGGAAGGTCATTAGGTGATGCTGGGTGCTCTGAAGTATGTGGAGAATGTCAGGAGACTGCATGCAGACAGTGTGTGCCCCTGGAGTCACAGCTACTCAAGAGGCACAGGCAGAGGCAGAGGCAGGACTTGCTTGAGCCCAGGGATTAGAGACCAGCCTGGCCAAAAAGAAGGAGGAAGAAGAGGAAGAAGATGGGGGCATGAAGCCCTGGTTTCCATCTCTAACACTGTATAAACCAGACATTGAAAGCAGGCTCATGCCTGTAATCCCAGAACTAAGGTCACTTTTGGCTACAGAGCACATTCGAGGCCAGCCTGGGCTACATGATACCCTGTCTTTAAAAAAAAAAAAAAAAAAGTAACAGAAGTCATGCTCCTCTTGGTGGCTGGTAGGGAGGACCACTTTGTGGGGGTGGCATTTATCCAGAGAGTAGCAGGAAAGAGTGTTCTTTAGGCAAGGGAAGTACTGGAGACAGAGAGTGCCCAATGAGTGTGGAAAGCAGGAGACCCATGTCGCATGGCTGCTGCAATAAACACATGAGCCTTGTGGCCTGTGGTCTGTGGTGAAGCCAGATCTCAGGAGGCAGATCACAGAGTGCCTCCTAGGCCACGATAAACAGTGGATGCTTACCCACAGGGCTGTGGGAAGCCAGTGATTTCCAGCAGAGGTATATCATTTGACATCTTAGTGTGCTTCGAGGAGAGATTGAGGAAGCCACGTGGGGCTCACTGTGCGATCCAGGCCAGGGCTAGTGGCTCTTAGCAATGGACATGTAAGAAATGGGCACTTATAAAAGGCTTGGGGAGAGGGAGAGGGAGAGAAGTGTGAGGAATGGACTGGCCCCTCCTGAGGTCAGGAACCCGAGGGAACAGCAGGAACTGACGAGCAGTTGTACAGCTGTGTGAAGGGTAAGATGCTGTGTGTCTACAAGAGCCCTAAAGATCTCTAGTTTATCAGCACACTGATGTGGTTGAGAAGGGATCCAACTGTACATCCTGAGGTCTCCTAAGGCAAGAGATTGGCAAAAAGAGCTAAAGGAGGAAGCAGCCAGCGAGGAGGCAGAGGTAGGTGTGGAAGGAGGAAGTCCTCAAAAGGAAGTGTTTTGAAATGGCCTTGAGGATGCTCTACATTGATTTCCATGGGAAGCAGTAACTGTGTCTTGGCAGTTCACAACTCTGGTGTGACAGTGGACAACAGGAGAGAGGGCATCTGAATGTCTGTGCTACTTGCACTTGGTATTGGGGTCTGGATCCCCTGGGAGACAGACAGAGGAGGAATATTGCCTATACAGTGGGGCAAGGCTCTCTCTCCATGTCCATGTTAGTTGACGGTTGAAGGGTTGGAGGTGGCTGAGTGTTGCAGAGTGGCTGCTGCCTCTGGCTGATTAGGGCAGGGGGCTGCTGGGCAGGGACAGCTTCTTAGCCAGCTCATATCTGAGTTGGCCAGATGTGGGACAGGAATGTTGAGGGTTGGGGGCTTGCTCTGTCACCACAATTAGAACTCAGTGTTGTAGGAGGCACAACCTTAAGTTTGTACAAGGGTTCCAGGGATGATGGTCCACGCAGAGGCTTGGTAGAGGCTGTGCATGCTCAAACTGGAGTGTCTCCCTCTCTGGGTTCTGTCACCTGGCAAGACTGAGTATCTCTCTTGTCTACTTTCCTGTCTTGGCAGGAATGCAGCGGGCAAAGATGGCAAGGAGCGCCTGGGTGGCTCGGTGCTGGAGCAGATACCCTTCCTACAAAACTGCGAGGGTGAGGACAGCGATGAGGATGATGAGCTGGACAGTGTGCAACATAAGAAGCAACGTGTGAGGGTGAGCCTTCCATTACTCACCTCTGCCCTGGCCCTCTGGCCCCAGATAATGCCCCATCCTACCCTCCTATTGATGGTCTTGCAGGCCAGCTCAGTGCCCTGACCCACTTAGGCTGCCTTTGTCGCCATGTGCCTGGACTCAGGCCTGGGTGACATCTGGGGAGTCAGTATGATCTGGGGCATTCTGGTCTGCTGTTGTGATCAGGGCCTTTGCCTGTGGACACTGCCTTTGGGGTAGCATCCCAGTCTTCTCAGCATGTCCTCACATCTGGCTCCCAGCACCCAGTGTGGGTGTACCTTTTGGGCTCTGTACTTTTTTTCTTCAGAATTTTGTCTTTGGTCGTGGGTGTGGCCTTAGTTGCCCGTTGAGCATCTGCTGAGCCCTTCACAGCCCAGCTCTGAGCAGGTATGGGTCAGGAAGGCACAGGTCTAGACCACAAGTGGATCAGTAGTGGCCAGGGGTACACAGTGGGGGGGGGGGGGTGCACGGGGAGGGGATGTGCTGAGGCGGAAGCAGAGACACCAGCTGTGGGGAAGACCTCAGCTTTCTCCGAACCCCACTTTCCCAGATGTGGCTTCTGCGCCACTTTCCCACTCCATCCAGACACCCCTTCTCTGCCTTGCCCTGGGTCTCCTGGGGCCACCAGGAGTCTGTTTTGTCAGCTTCCAGAGCCTCTGGGTTCCCTTCTCCAGACCCTGACCACCCCTTAGGGTATGTGTTAGTGAGGCGTGGCTTCCATCCTGTCTTTAGGGTTCCTAGCATGACTTAGCACAGGGTCCTGTCCTGATGGGATTCTGACGGGAGCGAAATACACAGACCTGGAATCCTGAAGGAGGCAAAAGGATAAAGGCCGTCTTTGAGTATGTGGTCTCTGACTTGGCTTCCTGGGTCAGATGCTGGAGTCCCATGCTCCTCCCAGCCCCTACTCAGGACTGTCTTTTTGTGTGTGTGGGGGGGGGGGGGGATTTGAATATGTGTGTGTAGTGTGTTTTGTGTGTGTGTTCATGTGGGTGCTACTTCATCTGGAGGCCAGAGGTCTGCTTCCTCAAGACCTATCTATCCTGCGGTTTCTTGTTTTGTTTGTTTTCATTTTGGGCGTTTTATTTTTTGTATGTATTTATGTGTTAGTCAGGGTTCTCTAGAGGAAGAAAACTGGTCGAATAAATCTATAGATAGATAGATAGATAGATAGATAGATGGATAGATGGATAGATGGATAGATGGATAGATACATACATAGATTACAGGCTGTGTTCCAGATTGTCCAACAATGACTGTCTCCCAATGAAAGGTCCTAGACTCTAGTAGTTTTTAGTCTACAAGACTTGATGTCTCAGTCTATGGTCTTCAGTGTATGCTGAAGTCAGTATATGTTTCAGCTGGTCTTCAGTATATATCAGACTCCTGAAGAAGTAGGCTCTACTGTCACTGAAGGAATAGGCTTGCTGATGAGTGCAAACAGGCAGAGAGCAAGTTTCCTTCTTTCATGTCCTTTTTTATAAACTGTCAGCAGGTGTGGCCCAGATTTAAAGGTGTATCTTCCCACCTCAGAATATCTGGCTTAAAGGTGGGTCTTCTCACCTCAAAAGATTTAATTAAAGACAATTCCTCACAGATGTGCCCAGCTGTTTGAGTTTTAGTTAATTTCAGTTGTAGTCAAGTTGACCGATGATAGCTATCACAGTGTATTTACTGTGGTTTTGACACAGGGTTTCTCTATATAGTCCTAGATTATCCTGGAGCTTGATATATAGACCAAGATGGCCTTAGAGATAGCCTCCTGTCTCTGCCTCCCGAGTGTTGTGATTAAAGGCTTACACCACCATACCCAATTTACCTTGTCTTCTTGAGACAGATAAGTCTCTCACTGGACCTGGACTTGCTGATAAGCATCCAGCCTGGCTTCCTGGAGTACTAGTTCAGGCATGAGCCTTCACACCCATCTTGTCCCTGACTGTTGTGTATTGTCGAGACCTGTCATGTTCACTGTACTTGTCCCCGTGCCCCAGGGGCTCACTTGTGTGGACACCTAGATCCAGACCATGCTCCACGCTGGAGAGTCAGCTATGCCCTGGGGTGCCACTGTCTGTTGGTGCTGCCCAAGGTTGGGTCCAGTTTGAATTTGAGGACCTGGGGCAATTGGCTTTATTCTTCTTAGCTTGTCCCCACACACACAGGATGGGAGAAGAGGTGTCATTTGAGTGACTGTTCACAGGGCTGTGGGCCAGAGTGAAGCCATGTCTGAAAGCTCCTTCCATGAGTCACTGATTCGTGCTCATCGTACTCAAACACACTGCCTGGAGACAAGGGTGTTATCGCTGTTAGGTTTATGCCCAGAATGGAGATACGGGTTTCTGTTGATCTGCCTGCAATTGTGTGTCTCTGTATACCCCTAGGGGTTGTACCCTATGACTTCCTGAGAGCCATGTGCTGGGGAGGGCCGCAGCAGAGCTGTGAGGAGAGACGTTTGAGTGCCCAGTGCTGGAGGTAGAGGAGGGCCCACCACACAGTGTCTAGACTAGGCTTTGGGGAATGAGCTGATGGCTCCCCTTTTCCTGGGAGCCAGGTGGGTTTGATTTCTGGACTCCAATACCTATCCCCACTTCTTCTTCTGTCCCAGCTTCCATCCAAGGCCCTAGTGCCTGAAATAGAGGACGAGGATGAAGAAGATGACTCAGAAGATGCCATCAATGAGTTTGATTTCCTGGGCTCAGGAGAGGATGGAGAGGGGTCTCCAGATCCTCGACGCTGTACTTCAGAAGGCAGCCCCCATGAGCTGGGTGAGTTGAGGACTGACTGAGAAGCCTGGCTAGGGCAGGATCTGAGCCTGCATACTTCAGCTGCTTCCTGTCCAGGCTCTGCCGGACGGATATACTTCCCGAGGTGGCTCAAGGATAGCTCAAGCCCCAAGTCAGAGCCAGTCCCTTACTCTTCCCTGGAAAGTCCCCGCAAGCTGTGTTCAAGCAGCTCTGCCAGAAGTAAAGCCCTGGTCCTTACAGCAGGTGACTAGTGCCTGTAGTGCAAGCTGAGGCAGGATGAAAACTGATGGAGGGGGATGGGCTGTGTCTTCCTGTCTTGTGACTCCTGGCCAGAAGGACCGTGGGGTCCACTGCATCTAGGGCAGGGCCAGGATTTGCCTGTCACCTCTCACTGGGACCCTGCCAGTCTGTCTTCTCAGTATGTCTCTTCCTGATCAGGGTTTTACAGCTTCCCCTGTTGCAGGAAAGGCAGTGGCAGTGAGAGGTGGCAGTTCTACCCCGAGAGCGTGGATAGAACTGGTGGGCAACTCTTGCTCATCCCTCTTCCATGCAGAAAGCCGTCGGGTCAAACTCCAGGGAATTCTTGCTGACCTCCGGGATGTGGATGGGCTGCCCCCGAAAGTGACTGTCCCACCTCCTGGCACACCCCAGCCCCGGCCTCATGAAGGTAATCTTCAGCCCCACACTCCAGTCCCTTGGGGTCCATGACAGAGGGAAGCTGCAGAGCTAAGCCTGGGGCTTCTGTGTCCTCAGAGGTAAGGCCCAGCCTCCAGTCTGCAGCCTCCCTGTCCCAAAAGGTCGTCTGTCTGTCTGTCTCCCTCTCTTTTTGTCTGTCCTCCCTTGTCTGTCTGTCTGTCCTGTCTTCCTTTCCAGCTTCGATTCTTGATCCTGTCTTCCTGCCTGTCTTCCTTGCTCCTCACCCTCTCCGCCTCTCTCCGCCTCTTTCTCTTTCCCTGGCCCTGTCTGCCCCACCCACCCCTCCCCCTACCAGGTTCCTTTGGCTTCTCCTCAGACGTCTTCATCATGGACACTATCGGGGGCGGGGAGGTGAGCCTGGGGGACTTGGCAGATCTCACCGTCACCAATGACAACGACCTCAGCTGTGATGTAAGTTGTTGGGGTGCCCCATTAGTCCTTGGCTCAGTCTGACCATGTTCCAGCCTGAGTTCTGTCCTTCCCTGTGAGGACTGTGAGAGGTCCTTCCACAGCCCCAGGGGCAGCTCCAGTACACCGTGCCTTACTGGAGGGTGCCTGGGGAAGACCTCACCGAGGTACAAAGTCTTCACTCCATGCCCACCCTCTTTGGGGGCGGGGAGATGATTGGCAGCCATGCTCCCCCCCACTCAGGGCACTCTGTTTTGAGTGGAACAGCTGGGCTGGAATGAAGAGCCTCGTGATTGGCATTCTGTGCTGTGGACCTTGGATGGGTCACTGGGACTTTCTGGGGTGGGTTCGGATGCATTTTTCCAGGACAAAAGATGAGGTGACTGACCCCAGTGAGGTTAGGGACATGTGGAGAATGTAGAAGAGAGGCTGGCAGGGTCTGCCTGGGGCTGTAGCACAGGGTTCCTCAGCCTGCCCCCACAGTGGCCCTTCAGAGAGGGGAGCCCACTGGAGCACAAATCTAGTTACTAAGAGTCATGGTGGAAATGCCAGCTGAGCACAAGTGAAGGGGGTCTGAGGGTACTGTGGCTTCCCCTGACAGCTCATGGTGTCTCCCAGACCTGGCTCTGTCAGAGTCAGCAGCTTCACCTTGCAGGACACATGCTTTCAAAGCATCTTTTCCAGGGTCTGAGGGCTCTATTCCCCAGACTCCTCTGTCCCAGAACTTGTTTCCCAAGTCATAGTCAAGGGTTACTCCATAGTCAAGGGCTGTTTGCTGTGACTGTGTAGCTTTGGGACCTATCTTTGCAGTTATTCTGACTTTTCCCCCAATCCTAGCCTCCTCAGAGAGGCCAGGACCAACTGTCCTCCGACTGCTCTGCAGCCTCATGTGGCTTCCCGTTACTCTGGGGCTCTATTTAGGACAAAAGAAATTGCTGCTTTCTAGATGGGACCCACTGTGCTGCCTGCCATAGACCTTTCTGGCTTCCTCTTGTGTGGCATGCTTCTGAGTTTTGTGTATCCCAGCCTTGCTGTCTCCTGGCTCAGGGCCTTTACGTACTCGCCTTGTTTCTAAACTTCCCCTTCCCCTTCCCTGGTTCTGGTTAGAACCTACATATTTGTCACGACTTTATGAGAGCCTCTTGGTCCCTGAAGAGGAGAATAGGGTGCCATAGTGCCCCTCCCTCATACTCAAGAGTTTATGGTTCTCTGTGTTTAGGAAGGACCTGCTTCTCTTTCCTAGGGCTCTCTGAACTGTGAGGCCCCAAAGAGTCAGGTTCCCTTGGCCCCTCCAGAGCCTCCCTTGCCTTCTGAGTATGTGTAAAGGGCTCTTCTGAGGCACACAGAAAGAAATGTCAGGCTGGGGCCAGTCAGTTCCAGTCTAGATGGGGTGGTTGTCAGTGTCTACATGAGTACTGGGACATCCAAGAGGACACTGAGGCAGCTCCCCATCCCCAGCTGTCTGACAGCAAAGATGCTTTCAAGAAGACATGGAACCCCAAGTTTACCCTCCGCTCACACTACGATGGCATCCGCTCCCTGGCCTTCCACCACAGCCAGTCAGCACTGCTTACTGCCTCTGAGGATGGCACTCTCAAACTGTGGAACCTGCAGAAGGCAGTTACGGCCAAGAAGTAAGGGTGCCACCCTGGAGGGTGTGGGGCCTTAGGACCTGGGGTCCTAGTGACGGGATTTCCTCTTTTTCCTACAGAAATGCTGCACTGGATGTGGAGCCAATTCATGCTTTCCGCGCTCACAGGTAGGGAGAAGGCTGAGCCTGATCTAAGCCCTGCGACCCAGCAGCATAGACTGGGCTGCATTCCTGCTGCCCTGGAGACCTGGAGCAGTGGAGACTCTCCTTCCCAGACCCTCCGTACAGTGGAGCCTTGGGTACATCCCTTACTCCGGGGCCATGTTGATTCCCATTGTGGTTTCACTGGGGCCCCCAGAGCAAAGACGTCACATTCCCCACGGCACCCTTAAACTGTACCTAGGACAGGAGACTGACTGACAGAGGGGAGGGCTCATGGGTAAAGGTACGTGCTACTAAGTCTGATCCCCAGGACTCAGGTGGTCGGAGGAGAGAACCAACTCCACATGTGCACTGTGATATATGGCAATAAATAAATTTAAATGATGTTTAAAAACAGCTAGAAGAGCCAGGGATGGTGGCATATACCTTGAATCCCAATATTTGGGAGGCAGAGGCAGGCAGATCTGTGAGTTCAAGGCCAGCCTGGTCTATAGAGCAAGTTCCAGGACAGCCAGGGCTACACAGAGAAACCCTTGAAAAAACAAAAACAAGCTAAAAGCTAGGAGAAACCCTCAAGCTCCTATGAGCAAGGAAGGCTTGAGCCTTACTTGCCTTGCATCACCTCCCCCTTGCACCCACAGGGGCCCTGTGCTGGCAGTCACCATGGGCAGCAACAGCGAGTACTGTTACAGTGGTGGGGCTGATGCCAGGATCCACAGCTGGAAGATCCCTGACCTCAACATGGACCCATATGATGGCTATGGTAGGACAGACCCTGCCATTTCCACCTCCTGTCACAGCACTAGCTCTGGGAAGTAGCACTGTCGGGCTCCTAGTCTGAATTAGCATTAGTAGGTGGGGCAGCGGGAGATAAGGCAGGAGAGGGTGAGGGGAAAGTTGGGCTGCATTTGAGGGTCAGTGTGAGCTGGCTTTTGGGGAAGCAGAGGCTAGCCTGAGTTAGGGCCAGAATGGGCTTGGTCAGCTTGGTAGAGTATGTTGGGGACCAGCTAAGGTCTTATTGTGGGTCAGGGCTTTGTTAGAAACAGAGGATATGCTGGGCGGTGGTGGCGCACTCCTTTAATCCCAGCACTTGGGAGGCAGAAGCAGGCGGATTTCTGAGTTCGAGGCCAGCCTGGTCTACAGAGTGAGTTCCAGGACAGCCAGGGCTACACAGAGAAACCCTGTCTCGAAAAACCAAAAGAAAAAAAAGAGTTAAGTAGAGGAGCTGGAGCTGGGGGTCAGTAGGTAGAGTAAAGCCCTGGGCCCCATCCCAGTCCCACAGGAGCTGGACAGATCAGAATTCTGAGTCACTGTGGGTTACATAGGGAGTTTGAGACCAGTCTGGACTACATGAAATCATATCTCAAAAACAAACAACCAGAACAACCAACCAAACAAAACAAGACATAAATCCTTAATCCCAGTACTCGGGGCAGAAGGAAGCAAAGCTCTGAGTTCAAGGCTAGCCTGATCTACACACCAAGTTCTAGGTCAGCTAGAGCTACATAGTGTCTCATAAATTTTTTTTTTTTTTTTCTGGTTCGTCTTGTAATGGAGCAGTAATGGCAAGAAGGTAACCACAATCACAAGTTCAAGACCAGCTTGATTATGTTTTGGGCTTCAGGCCTGCCATGCCATATACCAATCAAGCTAAAATGATAGTCGTAATGCCAAATCAGAGTCTGAGGCAGGAGGATCAGCCTGGTCTACATAGCAAGGTCTTATCTCAAAATAACACATTACATAGGACCAACACACACACACACGCACACACACACACACACACACGTATAAATAAGTAAAAGTGCTGGGCAGCAGCCAGACATAATGGTGCATGCCTTTAATCCCAGCACTCGGGAGGCAGAGGCAGGTGGATTTCTGAGTTTGAGGCCAGCCTGGTCTACAGAGTGAGTTCCAGGACAGCCAGGGCTATACAGAGAAACCCTGTCTGGGGGGAAAACCTGGACAGATGAGCGGGCAGGTGGGCAGGTGGGCAGGTGCTGGGCGAGTAAAAGTTAAGTAGGAGTGATGCTGTCCCGGGAACACCCTCACCGTGTTCTTGGGTGTTTCTCACCTTCCTGAGGTCCTCATTTTGTATTAACTCCTTTGTCTTTATTCTATTTGAAACAAGGTCTTGCTCCATCTTAAGGCCAGTTTTTAAGTCTGTTTTAAAGAAGTCTTTTATCTGGCAATGGTAGCACACACCTGAAATCGAGGCCAGCAGCTTGGTCTACAAAGTGGTCTTGGTCCAGGACAGAGAAACCTGGTCTTGAAAAACCAACAACCAAGCAAGTCTTTTACTAGGAGAAATAGACCCCAAGTCCCACCTCTCACCAGGAGGCTATTGCAGTGGATTCCTGCTGAGGAAGGGAAATCAGTTGTCTCTGAGCCAGTGTCACTGGGTCCATCAGTGACTCCAGGGCAGGCCTCATGCCCAGGAGTGGTTGGACAAGACAGAATAGACTCCATGTTGTTGGGGTAAATTATATGTTTGTTTATTTTTTGGCTTTTTAAAAAATAATCTTCTGCTTTAGTCTTACTCTTTTAAGAGAGGAAGAGCATGAAGTTGGCTGGGCAGGTGAGGGGTGGGGGGTCTGGGAAGAGCTGGAGAGGGAAGGAGTGTGGTCACAGTATAGTTAAAGAAAAGTACATTGTTCTAAATGTCTTATAGGCTGCACGTAGCCATGCACACCTTTAATTCCAGCACTCGAGGCAGAGACAGGCAGAGCTCAGTGAGCCAGCCTGGTCTACATGGTGAGTTCTTGGCCAGCTGGGACTACACAGTGGGATTCTTTCTCAAAGGGGAACAAAAAAAGAAAGAAAAGAAATGTCTTTTAATAAACTGTAACTCTGCTTAAGTAAAAAACAGGTTTTTTTATTTTGTTTTGTTTTTTATTTGGTTTGCTTTGGTTTTTTGAGACAGGCAAAGACAGGGTTTCTCTGTGTAGCACTGCTTGTCCTGGAACTCACTCTGTAGCCTAGGCTGACTTCAAACTCTACCTGCCTCTGCCTCCCTCCTGATTGTTAAAATTAAAGATGTGTGCCACCACCATTACTGACCATAAAAAAAAATTAAAATTTTTTTAAGTAGTTAATTTTTTTTTTTTTTATGTGAAGAAATACCCCGAGTTCCCCTCCCACTCAGTGCCCTTGCCTAACTTCTTGATGCTTGGTGAACTATTTTTACATGTGTTTGTGTGTTACAGATGGTCGTGAGCCATGGTCTGGGTGCTGGGAACCAAGCCTGACATAAAGCAAATGCTCTTACCCACTGAGCCATTTCTCCAACCCCACCCCCCACCCCTTTATTAAAAAAGATAGAATCTCACTATGTTGTCCTAGCCATCCTGGAAATCTTTATGTAGACCAGGTTGGCCATAAACTCACAGAGATCCTCCTGCCTCTGCCTCCTGAGTGCTGTTTTACTCTTGAACATGGCCTTGTGCTAAATTTGTTGTGGCAGAACACAGAGTTCTATTTGCTGTCAAGATACTAGTCATCTGGGAAGGTCAGGCGTCAGTCCTAAGTGAACTAACTGCCATACTTCAGGTGTCAGCTGGACTTGACCCAAACCGTGGAAGTCGACAGCTAGAGAGACCACAGACGGTCCTTTGAGCAGCAGGGGCTAAAAGGGGAGCTTACTCGGTCATCACAGGCAGCCTCTCCCTCACGCTCGCTCCACTGGTGCCCTGAGCTGCTGACCTAAGCTCTTGAGCTGCTCCTGAGCCCTAGAGTCAGAGGAGCTTGTGGGCAGCCACCCAGGTCCCAGCAGAGCTGCAGCCCTTAGGCTATTCGGTATAGCTGGTGTCCCTGACAGTCTGTTTCCTCCTGGCCTGCCCAGACCCAAGTGTGCTGAGCCATGTCCTGGAAGGCCATGGGGATGCTGTGTGGGGCCTGGCCTTCAGTCCCACCTCCCAGCGCCTAGCATCCTGTTCCGCCGATGGCACCGTTCGCATCTGGGATCCCAGCAGCAGTGGGTCAAGCTGCCTCTGTACCTTCCCCATGGCTGGAGGTGAGTTTTGATCCCAGTGTCTCACAAGCAAGATACAGAGCCCAGGACTCTTTGGTGGCTCCTGTGGAGGGCCAGCAGCCACAGGACTGGCCCTCTGAGTAGCCGTCTCTCCTCCCCTGTGCTCCTAGAACATGGGATTCCCACCTCAGTGGCCTTCACCAGCACCGAACCTGCTCATGTTGTAGCCTCCTTTCGTTCTGGTGATACCGTTCTTTATGACTTGGAAGCTGGCAGCGCCCTTCTCACATTGGAGTCCCGAGGGAGCAGCGGTAAGGGCCCTTGGCCAGGCAAGCCAATAAGATAGGGGTTGAATGCCCATAGGACCCCAGTTCCTCCTATGGTTCTGGGGACCTAGCCATCAGTGAGATGAGAATGTTACCCCTATGCCACAAGCAGGAAGGAAACAAGGCTCAGTGGTAGCCAGCTAGCTTGATACAGGGGGCTGGGTTGCATGTCCCCAGTTGCAGAAGTGGCTTGCCCCTCCTGCCTCTGTCCAGTCCTGCGTCCCCCCTCAGTCCTCTCCCCCTCTTCCTACTGATCCTCCAGGCCCAACACAGATCAACCAGGTGGTGAGTCACCCAAACCAGCCTCTCACCATCACTGCACATGACGATAGGGGCATCCGGTTCCTGGACAATCGGACAGGTGAGGCCCAGCCGTAATTGTCCCCTCATTGCGATTTTTGGGGTGCGGGTGGTATGGGGCAAGGGCAGAGCACATTCAGACTACCAAATCCTAGTGTCCACCTTATAGGCACTCACACTCCCGCCCCCAGTCCATTAGCTTCCCAGATAGGACAAGGAGTTGTGGGGACTCCCGGCCACTCTCTGTCCTCCCTCCAGGTAAACCTGTGCATTCCATGGTGGCCCACCTGGATGCAGTCACCTGCCTAGCTGTCGACCCAAATGGTGTGTTCTTGATGTCAGGAAGTAAGTTGGGTGTCTCTTGCTGCTCCCTCCCCTGGAGGTTGGGGCAAAGAGGAGGGGCTACAGCCATGGCAGGCAACTCCACTCGTGAATGTGCTAGAAGTTCCTGCCTCAGTCCCATTGACTCTCCTTGGACTGAGTCTTGCCTTGGGGTGGGGGTGGGGAGTTGTTCTTGTGTTGCAGGCATGTGGTGATGGGATCAGAGTTTGAGTACTTGATCCGGCTCTGTTTTCGGATACAGGCTCAGCTGCATCTACTCTAGAATGGGTGGCTAGGCCCTTCAAACCAACCAGTGTCAGCTGCAAGGAGTGTGTGCACATGTGCTTGTAGGTGTGCAGGCAGCCAGGCAGTGGTAGTGGAGGCTGTGGGAAGGCTCGGCGTGAATCACGGCTTGCTAGGCCTGATGATGCCATGTACTGCTGGCTGAGAGCCACACCCCAGGTCTCCTTGTTCCCTGCCCAATGCTATTAGACCCCGGCCTGATACCATCTGAAGATCTGAGGAGGCTCTGCTTTCTGGGCTGACTTGAGGAGCAGAGCCTCAGGCCAATCAGGCCCTCGTATGCCCAGCAAAGGCCCTAGCCTAGGCTGCTGGGCCGGTGTCACCTCCACCCTCAGTTCCCTGCAGCCATCACTCCTCATTGGCTGCCTGCTCCAGGCCCTTGTTGGCCATCCCTCTGCCTGGGAGGCTCCCCCTCCTTAAGCCGTGTTGTTCAGCGTGTCACCTGGAGCTAGTGTCTGCTGTTCTCTTTTTTTCCTTGTTGTACTAAGGATAGGACCCAGGGCCTCCGGCTGGCCAGGCTTGGCAGTACGCAGCTGCTAAGCCGTGCCCTACCGTCTCCCCTGCAGGCTGAGAGCTGCCTGTTGTGTGTAGCATTCCTCCCAGACTCCTTCCATATACTTGCTAGTTAGCAGAATGGTGGACAGGATGGGGACAGAAAGGCTAGCTTTAGGGCAGAGCGGGAGGAAGAGAGCTGAGCTGCTTCTGCCCCAAGGATTTCGCATGAGGCTAGGTAAAGATTTCAAACCTCAGGTCTGGGCTGAAACAACCTCCTCTGCTCCACACCTGTGCAGGCCATGACTGTTCTCTGCGTTTATGGAGCCTCGACAACAAGACATGTGTGCAGGAGATCACGGCCCACCGCAAGAAGCATGAGGAGGCCATCCACGCAGTGGCCTGCCATCCCAGCAAGGCACTTATTGCCAGTGCTGGTGCTGATGCCCTAGCCAAGGTCTTCGTATGATCCCACCTGGCCTCGCCCTGACTGCACAGTGGCAGGGAGCGGGGCCAGGCAGTGGGGCTGAGGTAAGGACCAGGGCCATTTGTGTTCTAGATAGGAATGCAGACACCCAGTGTCCTTGCCCCAGAAGACACCCCTATACCGACCCACTCCCATGATCCACTTGCCTATCAGTTGGAGTTGTGCCAAAGCCCACAGTCCTGTGAGAATAACTGAGGCTTCCCTGAGAAGACAGAGGGAGGCGTGGGAGCTAGAGTGGGTCACTGTCCTAACCAGCTGCCTTCCCTTTGTCTCTACAGGCAGCCCCCAGCCTCCCTTTAGAGGCTCGGAGTTTTGGCCTCTTTCATCTTCCTGGAGCCTGGTGGTGCTAATGGCCCTTTCCCCAGGAATCACCCCTCAAGGATGGCCTCTAGGGTTCTGCTCATGCCCCATTCCCAGCTCCTGACATAGCTGTCATCCTGAGTTTGACAGAGCCCAGGCTCTGTGTCCTTTGGGATCTGATTTTGTCCAAGATGAAAGAAGGTGCCAGGCTCCACCCTAGAGTGCCACCCTCCCTCATCCACGGGATGAAGGGCTGTACAGAGAGGGATCTCCTGGGGCCCTCTGTCCTTTTAGACCTCAGCCCCTTCCTCTTGCTTTCCAACACTAACCAAGCCTCTGGGGCCAGGCCTTCCTGGGGAGGGTCTCCACTCCTCCAGGGCATTGTCCTAGCCACAGGCCCTCTGTGCGATGTAGAGGGTGGAGTGGGCCCTGTGCCCCTAGCTCACTGTATATCTGTATAAAGGAATGGGATTTAATGGCGCCCACCCCACGTTCTCACTGTGTGATAGTCTGTCAGCCTCCTCCTTGTTCCACACTTTGGTCTCTATTTATTTCACTCTTTATTTGGGTCCCACCGTATGCCCTTGGTTCCCCTTTCAGGTTCCTGTTTATAAGCCCCTTCCTTTTTGCCCCAACTTGTACGTGAAAAAAACTGTCAATAAACCCTTTGGAGTAAGCTAGCTTCTCTGGACCGTCTGTCAAGGGGACAGTGGACAATGGGGAAGCCACTCCCTCTGCCTTGGTTGAGGAGTCTGGGGAGAGGGACATATGGTGGATTGGGGTTCTGTGGTAGAATGGGGTTGGGGAGCGTGGTGACATGTCAGTGGAAGGGCAGAAGTGGGAGCACATGCGGAGTCTCCATGAGCCTCTCCTTTCTGTCCCTCGGCACGTGCCGCCCTTGGGCAGTGAGCTGGTGAGCAGTGCTGAGACATAGCAAGGAACAGTTTAGTTGAAGACCCCTTGCCTGCTCGAGGGCTAAGAACAGCACTCTCTGTCCTGCCCCATGCCCACTCTTGGACTGACAGAAAGGTAGGCCCACCAGTGACCCAGGCAAAGGACAGGATGTGCATGTGCCTAGCCCTCAGAGCAGTACAGAGCTCCCTTCCCGTTCCCATGTTTAATGTCAACTTGTGGGGGTTAGGCCTTCATTCACTCACTGTCTTCATAGACATAGTGGGGTAGGACTGGGAGTCCCTTACTACAGAGTGAGAGTGAGACGTCTGCTCAAGGGCTCTCCACTGATACTCCAAACAGCAGGCAAAGCATGCCCCTCAACCTCCACCTTCTAGCCCTGCCACAAGGGTCAAGGGGTTAAAAGGGCTGTGAGTCCCAGAGACAGGCCATCGAACATGCTGGGGACATGCCTATCTAGGGAAGGTGCATGTAGGCATGTGATTTTTAGGGGACACTCATCTGCCAGGCTGTGAGCTCCACGTGGCTTCCTTGCCTCCCCCCATCCTTCTGAGCTCTTTGCAGCTTCCCCAGGTGGTAGTTTGGGTTTTCACTCCAGCCTCAGACTTCCTTCCCCAGCCCCTGGCCCCGGATGTGGTGACAGCCAGCACTGTACCGACCTCAGCTGCCCCCAGCGGCACTGAACCAGTAAAGGGGGCCCATGTGGACAAGTCGCTGCTCTCTAAAGCCCCAGCATCCTGGATGTGAATACTGATCGGTAGCCACTGCCTGCCTACTGGAGTAGAAGTCAGGACTGCTCCTGATGGAGTTAGGGTTGACTACACAGGGCTGGCTCACGGGCTCTCAGTTGATGTTAGCTTTTCAGATTTCCTGTTATTGCATTACTATTTATTTATTTCAGAGAAGGGTGGAGGTCAGGACAGCCCACGGTAGCTGAGCTGGTTCTTTGATTATGTGAGTCTACAGGATTGAACTCGGGCCGGTGAGCTTGGTGTCAAGTACCTTTACCCACTGAGCCATCTCACCAACCACATGTTGGATGATTCGGTTAACACACCCACCCAGACGCCCCTGAGTGATTTTGGTGCCTTCCCTTTTCTGTGCAAAAATTAAAGGGAACCACATCAACTCGACTTCAGCAGTGTCCAGGCACCACCTGTATTCCAGAAATGGAATACAGCCTCATGACAGAAAAAACTAAGGCCCACAGGGGAGAAGCCCATACCTCAAATCACACAGCCAGGAAGATGTAGGCACTTGGTCTCTCCGGAGGTCTATCAAGTGGTGGTGTCCTTTGGTATGCCACCTTGGTTGGGGGGATAGGCTTCGTACTCAGCTCACTGAAGACAAACCTGAGACTAAGCTCTCTGTGCATCCTGAGGCTTCGACT